GGTCTGTTACAATTCATTAAACAGGATCATTTACACGAACTGATGTAGGACAAAAAAAAATTATCTAGGAAAAAGGCCGCAATCCAAAATGCAATGAAAATTTCAATAAATAATGGTGGACTGGAAAGCGGAGCACCCAAGATTACCCACTGCTCGCGAAAAGACTAAAATATGTTATTTAGTGAAGAAAGACCCGACAGTTTCAGCCTGATGTATTCATCAGTGTCTTCGGATCAGTATTTTTGACCGAACAATTCAACGGATCGGAGAATCCGGCTATTCTAGCCGCTACAAGTACAAAAGCCCTATCAACAGCAAAACGAACTTGAAGGCACGATTGGAATTCGCCAAAAAGTATTATCAAATACCTCCAAATTTTTGGAAAAAAGTAACTTGGAGTGTGAAGAGCAAATATGAATAGGCAAAGAAAAAGTTCGGCTAAAAGGTCCCGAGAGGCTCCAAAGTGACTATAAAGCACTATAAAGGTGCGGAGATGAAAATGTTTTAATTTGTGGTTGTTTTAGCTCTATTGGTCTATCAAATCTGGTAATGGTCGAAGGCAAAATGTCGGAAGACTCCAACGTGCAGACGCTGAGTATTAATTTAGCGTCCGCAGCGGAAATAATAAACTTACAAAATAACTGCAACATACAAGTCAGATTGCGAAAAAAATCGCATTAAAATTGATTGAGTTCCAACAATAGCCTAACCAAGCAATGACTTAAATACTCATTTATAACAATAATTGTATAGCGAGCAAGCTACCGACCAGACGAGAGACTGTTTAAGCTCGTCATGCTGACGATTAATATATATTTTTATAGGTTCTCCGAATATTTCGTGTTCTTTTGTGTGTTACAATATATTATATTGATACACACACAATTTAAGTTTCCGAAATATTTCTAATTAATAAATGTCCAATTTTTTATATTTTCACTTACCGACACTCTATAGTACTAATCGGAATAAAAATCTATCCATATACACTTAAAAATATAAAAGTTTCTATTTTTGCATTTCAAAGCAGAAAACATTTTAATGGCGTATCATTCATTAGCTCCGTGAATACAAAAAAAAATGTTCTTAAAATGTACATATATATAAAATGTACATGTATAAATATTATAAAATTAATTTTGAGTATCAATAGATTTTTGAAGTATAATCGACGTTTTATATTAATTTATTTTATTAGGGTAGGTAGAAAAAATTATATACTACTGTGATCAAGGTGAATTTTTAATTTACATATACTTCGCGTGTTTTTATTCTTCCAAGTGCTATGATGACTGGAAAATTCGTTCGAATCACCTTTCAATTTGATCACTGTAGGAAATATCTTTTTGGTATATGATAGAGTAAGTAAATTTCCTACAAAACTCTGAGTTTTCCGATTTATAATAATTTTTTTCATTGAGTTATAAATTTCATGAGAAAAAAATGCCTTAACTTTCAACTGATAATATCTTTCAAATAGTTAAGTTTACGAAAAAATCATACGAGATCATTTTGTAAAGAATTCAATTTCCTACAAACTTCTATGTAAAAGGACAAAAAATGGAAAGTTTAAGGTGGAGGTCCTTCCTTTTGCAGTTAAGAACTTGGAGAGATTTTCATAGAGGTGTATAAGAACCTATTTTTTAAAGTACCAAGCAAAAAAACAAAAATTCATTTTTTTACTCGTCCTATTGAATATCCTTTCGAGGACTCACTAAATCTTTCTTTCTAAGTATTTCCGCCGTTTCCATTCAATAAGCCCGACATTTAGTGTTGTTCAATTTCACTTTATTCTTTCATTTAATCGCTTTCATAAAATGTGTCTGGCAATAAAAGTATTATAAACCAACCCAAGCCGGTCAGTGAAATCATTTGAAAAGAAATAATCAAATATTTAATCAAAATATGAGTCCAGTGACGACACGCCGTAAATTGAAAAACAAAAACAGGAAAAACTGACCTAGACACCAGCAATATTTCGTAGATTAACTGTAAACAGCGTATATATATGATATATATGTAACAATAATATGTAACAATAAAATATAAAGCTGGCAAAAACTGATCACGCGACTCAGTAAACGCGTAGCTGAAACCGGATCAAATACTACAAGCTCATACTACTTTTAGTGCATTCCACACACACGCACATCATCACCAATTTCAAGCTTGAATGCTGGTTGAACTGCACGTTTTTATTTAACCATCGGCCGGCTCACTTCGATACGCTTCACTGACGCTTCAATGAGCGGCAATTCAAGTCGAATGAGCCGTATAAATGACGCTTGTTCGTTGTGCTGATTATCGTGATTGGCTGTGTTGTTGTAGCATTTTTTCACGGTCGCCTTTAGTGTAAGAAAATTTGCTCTAAAATGTCAAAATCACTTAATTTATGACATAGCTGCCGCATAGCTGTGCGCTGACCGGCACTTGATCAAGTCAGCAAGTAATCCAGTAGTCTACTAGGCGATTGTACGGGCTCCTTACGCGTTGGCGCATCGCAGCTTTTGTGGTGGTGGGTTGGAGGAAGGCGATTGTTTGCAGAAAGTTGATTAGCGTTTTGGAAAGTGAAACTCGTTGATGCTATTTACATTTTGATTTTTATTTTCATTGGTTGTGGATTCCGGTTTGTCATTTGTATTTCCACTCCTTTGCTCCATATAAGTTTCATACACAAATGCTGAAGACAGAGGTACTAAATGTTACGATAAGCTCTAGTTGTGAAAAATCATTTCATTTCGCAAGAAACTGCTTGACCCGTTCGATATTATTATTTTAGCCTATAGCTATATTCGTGCGCTTTTTCTGAAATTTTAACATTTATCTGAAATATAAAAAACCAAACAGATTTCGTTAAAATGATATTAAATCTAGTAATTAATCGAAGAAATAAGCAAAATAAAACTATCCTACAAGAAGTCGATTTCTACAAAAAATTCGATTTTGACCAAAATTTCGGTCTTAATTGTTTATAAAAAAAAAATATTTATCGGTGAGAAAAAATCTTCGATTAAATACCACAAATACATTTTAGAAGCTCGCGTTAAAATTTGAGACTAATCCGTGTAGCCGTTTTCGAGTTATGTTGATCACCGACTTTCATACCTCATTTTGAGCAAAACGCGTTTAAAGTTTGGAATGTACTTCCGAGCACTCTGAAACGCCTTTTCAACTTTGCGTGTAACTTCGAAAATATTCACCGAAGCGATATGAAGTATTCTTAAATATATGTAAATTAAGAAAATAAAATTAAAAAAATCGAATTTTTGAAAATTCTAACTGTATATTAGGTTGTCAAATATCTCCCTTCCGCCTTTTTGTTTTTTGAATTTTGCGGCTATGTATAAAGCGTTACAGACCTCGTATCTGGCAATGCTATACATCTGTGGAAAAGTCTTGACATAACCCACAAAACAACGCTGTGCATGATAATTTCGATATTGCATTCAACAGTTATAGATGTGTAAGCGTTGCGTGAGATTAATGATGTTTTGGAGGATGGTGCTCTGTAACTTCGAACTACGGAGGAGGGGTTTCGACGATTCACAGCGGGTGAAAACGACATCATGGATAAGCAAGCCGGCGGAAGACCTGTGAACGACGAATACCGATCAAATCATGGAAAACATCGAGTTAAACCGGCATCTCGTGACATCGCCTAGAAGATGAGAGTTAGTCACGAAACCATTTTAAACAATCTGGACTTCTGATACACAAAAAAGCTTGATGTTTGAGTTGAAAAACCTATCTGGACAGAATCAACGCCTGCGATATACTGCACACACAGTATGTCAATACTGCATTCACATACGACAATATCAAGCGAAAACGGTCCTGGTCGAAGGCCGGTGAATCGTTCCAAACGTCCACTATAAGCTGCTCCCATATGGTCAGACGCTTAATTCTACCATCTACTGCGAACAACTGAAGCGCTTGAAGCAGGCGATCGACCAGAAGCGTCCAGAATTGGCCAACAGGAAGGGAGTAATGTTGCATCAGGATAACGTCAGACCACACATTTTGTTGATGACTCATCAGAAGCTAAGCGAGCCTTTTTTTAAAAACTTTTTACTCATATAAAAAATGGAATATTTTATAAGATTTTTTTATTGTTACAAACATAGACTATTAATAAAGAAATTCTGCAGTTTTTGGGAAAAAATATTTTAAACTCTGCCATTGCGACACCATTTCTGGTGAGCCCTCCAAGAAAGATGCGTCCGCGTTGGCCGGATAACTCCTTTCAGGATTATTTAAAGTGAAATAGACGAGTTTTAGTTAAAACCTTAACATAGAACTTGGACGAGGGGAAAATTGGATTTTTGGCAGACATTAAAAAAAAATTAAAATTTCGCAATTTTTTCAAATAGTTGCAATAGAAAAAAATTTAAATATTGTTTCTCAAAGGCAGGTGTAAGATTCCATGGAGATCGGTTAAGTAGTTCTAGAAAAATCTTTTCAACCGACTTCAAACACCCAGTTTCGAATAAGTTCTCAAGGCTTCTTCGAAACGATTACTCTGATCACCTTGAAAATTTAGGAAAATATTTGAGAGATGTTGTAGAATTGAATAAACTACTCCTTTTTTTTTTTTGTTGAAATCGGTAAACCCATGTAACCCCTTAATGGTTTCACTAGCTTTTCGAATATCTAAATATAGCACGTCTTTCTGGCCCCATCGAATACAGAGCATTACCTTGGTGTCATTAATAATCGGTTGGCCATGTTCTACTTATGATTTTTTGCGTTTAGTATCGTCGTAAGGGATCCATTTTTTTATCAACAGTCGCAATCCGAAACTAAAACAACGACTTCTTTTTATAGATTTTGTCAGCATTTCTGAAATGCCAAATCGTCTTACAACGAAGGTTTTGTGTTACTCTTTCACAAGCATTCCTCCCTCGCATAAGTTAACATAAAAACACTGCTAAATTTCACTATTTTTTATTTATTTTAATTTTAATATTAATGAATATTCGAATTTGTTTCTTCATTTGCAGACGCGACTTCAGCTTCGACTTGCCTCTTCTGCCTGCCAGCTTACACTCCTTGCCATTAGTATAACAGCTCTAGTGCCACACACCTGGGGTATACAGCAGCAACAGAATTTCCCTGCTGATTATCTGGTGCCACCACCATTACCCACACCACAACATCTGAAACATCAAAATGCACCAGCTCATCAAGCCGCCGAGACAGTGGCGGCACCTAGTCACACCTCCTCCATCAATGCCGTCGAACCGCCTGGCTTTATGTCACGCATAGCACGCTGGTTCGGTCTCGGAGCAGCGGAACAAAATCAAATCGCCAACGGTTTCTCATCGGATGGTAAACAAGCATACAATTATGAAGCACCCTTAGGACCAGATGGTAAACCTTGTAACCGTTGCAATAAATATCCTTGGGTGCCAATGTTCCCGCAAGGTTTACAATATCAGGCGAACACTCAGCACGCCGCAGCGGTGCCACAACAGCACTCACAACAACACTATGAAGCGCAAGCATCACAGAAACATACACAGCAACAGCCATTGCCATTTGGCAACACTGGAAAGCAACAGTTGCCCATTAGACAACGCGCTGTACAGTTCAATTTCCCCACAGTATATCAACCACTGCCTGGATTGTACAAAGCACCACCTGCACCGGGAAAAGCTCCTGTAGCACCACCATTCCTTCCAGTACCCATACCGAATCTCAGCTTGAACGCTTTGCCACCTATTTATAATGCACAACCTTTCCGGTTGCCTTATTTGACGCCTGCAGCTTCCACAACAACCACTGAATCTACGGTCGGGAGTGCTCAGCAATTGCCCACTACGAAACCCGCACACTTCGCGGAAAATGTTGGAGCACCTTCGGAGTTGCAACCGGATCGTGTGCGTCCAGAGCAGACATACGCAACGCCAACACGAGTTCATGATCCCAGCTTTGAGATTGTAAAGAGCCATCAGATCACCGATTTCGTCTCATCAGTCGAATATCCAGTCACGTTTGAGCAATCGCCTTCTATTGACTTAGGGCAGCAGCAAGCCCCAGTTAATCCACAACCGGTCAAGCAGACGGTTGCGACGGTGTCTTATCAGCATGAGAAGTTCAGTCCAAATCTACACAAGCACTTGCCTGCATCGCAAATACTCACCGAATTGGGTAGTTTTGCGGGAAAACCTCAAACCCCACAGTCTCAACAGAGTCAGTCATATCTTAATACACAGGACCAGGGTTCAACACCTCCCCAGCCACAAACACAACAACCACAACAGTCTCAAATCTATCAACAAACGGATAATTCCTACCAGACGGCAACACAACAGCAACAGGCCCAATATTCGCCAGCCACCACAACACAGTCCCAAACGGGGTATACACAATTTCAACAAAACTACGAGCCATCCACAAATTTCTATACAACACCATATCAACAGCAGACGCAATATCAGCAGCACAATTATGAGTCACAGAAAGCTCCCTATGAGTCACAAGGTGAAGACAACTTTCCATCCGCTTCGTCGCACAATCTTACCGAGGTGCAACATCAGCAACAAAACATGGACAGCAGACCTTGGTTGCCGCTGACACAAACCTTCCCCTACACAACTACAGAGCCACCACGCGAGTTCGAATTCTCGACCCAATTGTCGCAACTTGGTGAGGTGGACTATATAACGGAACGCGTGCAAGGGAATACAAAAGTGCAATTTTTAACTTCACTACAAACCCAACAACCACCGCGACCAGAGCAAGTAAGGCATGATCAACGTGGAACACCAAAACACTTATTGGATTCTCCCATACAACATGCGCCCGGTTTTCTTAATCAACCACGCCCCTTTACGCGTGATCCCAGCGAATTGAATTTGCGCCGACCGCCTGCGCCGTTTGTGACCCCACAACATTATTCAAATCACAAGCCAAATTCCGTCGACCTGCCCTTCTCCACTGCACCATGGTTAGTGACGCCTTTGCCACCCTCGCCCACATTCACGGGCGTACCTGCGGCGCCCACACCAACCTCCACCTACAGTGCCATAGATGCGAGCGGTCAATATGCTGGCATGTCACCACCAACACCACCACCACCGGCACGTCATAAGGACGTTCATCAAATAATCATTCCTTATACGACGAAAAACAAGCCACGACCCTTTGAGCCCACACGTTCACAACCGACAGTTAATCAAATCGATCAACAGAATGCTGCTTTCCAGAAATGGTCCGCCCAACAGAATAGCGTGGATATACACGAACAGCAAGAGTCCAAATTGGTGACTGCGAAATTGGCTACGGAGACGCCTCCTCCCGAGCTACCGCGTCGCACCACGAAATATGTCACTAAAATACTTGCCTCAAATTTACGCGATCTACTGCGACGCGAACATGAAATCAGACAACAGAAAACGAATTCTTCGAGCTTTGATCTCTCCAAGCTGCAGAAGAATATCGACGACTGGACGGAGCAGGAGTACACCTCACTGTCGCATCGTCCAAGTACGCCAACAATACGTGGTCGATCCAAGCACATACCAACTGAATATCTTACCACAACTACTCCAGCATCACGTCGACCCAAAACAACAATTAGTCTTTTTGAACCGCCCTCAGAGTTGCCAGCATCCGTAAACGATTTACAATCGCTGCTGTTGGAACGCGGTTCGAAGCGTTTCGAATTGAATCAAATAGCCGATGATGTCGATAATCATTTATTGGACACTCTAGAAAGCGAAACAGCGACAGTCTCTTCAGCAACGAGTCAAACAAACACTCAGCAACCGCCGAATAGTAATGGACATGCGGCACCGAACTTCATGCATCTCGGTTCCGAATCCTATCAGCCCGAGCCGGCAGAACTTTGGCGCAAAGCCAAGGTTACCATTTCGCCACAAACAAACGAGAAGGTGTATGTGGTGACACCACAGCCGCGATTCTTCCCACAACGTGCGCTTACCACAACTAGTACGAGCACAGAAGGGCCGGCCAGTTTTAGAAAGTCGCCACGCTTCATAGTGAGACCAACACCCGGTAATGGTAAGTACTATTTTGAAACTCATACTGCTTTGTTTTAAATGTCTTTCAAAAGCTTCGTGAAATTTAATCGGTGGGTCCCAACTCGCTAAATTGTGAAGACTGCAATCTCTTCAGGTCCAACTTATAGACTAGCTATTCTTCTATTTTGCAGTTCAAAATTTATGTTTTTCTATTATTTAGTTTGACTAGTCTCATATATCAAAGGCATACATATGTATATATATTTTCTTCAGAGTACATTTTATTTATAAGCTTTCTTCCATTCGTTATCGGACGTATAATAGATCAATTGAGAAGTCCCGGGCCTACCATAGTGAAACACTTTTTTTTTTTGCAAAATTCGTTATTCAACATAGTTTCCTTTAAGAGTGGTACACAGATTATAGCGACCCACCAAATTCCGATACCATTTTTCTTAGTACAATTTGTCCTTTGCTGCAAAATAGTCCTCCGTTTCGGCGATCACCTCTTCTCTCGATGAGTATTTATTCTCAGCGAGCATTTATTATATTTGAGGTCTGAAATGTTAGGAAATGTTTCCTGGTTGCCAGAAGCAATTCGAAGCCCAATTAATTTGCCATCGTTTTCACTGACGTGATGCATCTTCTGATTTCCTGGTGATTTCGTCCTTCAAACGGTTCAAAAACAGTATGTAATAGTCGCTGTTGATAATATCTTCTTTTTAAAGGTAATCAATAAAAATTAATCCATTCGCATCCCAAAATACTGACGCCTTAACAATGCTAGCCAACAGCTTTAGGGCGGATTCATCGTGTGCATTCCACTCGTATGACTGTCGATTGGTCTTCGAATTGGAATGATTGAGCCATGTTTCATACATTGTCACTTATCAATGTAAAAACTCGGGTTTATTACGCTTGAACATCTCCAAACGCTGCTGCGGATCCTCAACTCATAATTGCTTTTGGTCATCAAGCTAATATCAAAAGTTGCTCACTCAAAGTGATATAATTCACAAACAAATGGCTCGACAGCTGCCAAATTTCTACATGCCCCTTTTGTAGGTTATGACAAACCGAAAATCATATGGATTTAATTTTAGTAGCACTTTTTCAAGGCCTGTAAGAGTATAACTAAAGCAGAGAGCAGTTGATGCTTAAAGCTAAACAGGAACTGAATTATGTTGTCTTTAATTCCTTCCATGCATCTTCCTTTTGTTTAGCACTGAACTTTCAAATGATCCGTTTATAAGAAAAATTTGCTCGATTTTCCTGTACGCAAACTGTTACCTCTGCCCAGAACAATTATCACCAATCCTGAAGAATCGTTGTGGTATTTAGTTAGTCTTGTCGTTGCCATTTTGTATACTAGAATTCAAAAGTACACTTTCGCTGAGATCTGACTTCGCTTCACCACTTCGGATCGGACTTAAAACGATACCTACATAAAAAAATACGCTATTTTCCTGTTTGCTACCTGTTACCTCTGTCTCCGGCAATTATAACTGATCCTGAAGAATGAGATCTGAGAATTCTGTCGCTGCAACAACAACAACAATGCGATCTGACTTCGGATCAGTGCCTGAATTGTATACAACTGACTAAATAGGCACTAACCAAACTTTTCTCAGCCGCTTTGAAATTGATACTAAGAATATTATTGATTTTTCAGGCACCCACTCATCTGCGCCAGCAACCAGTTTTTATAGTCCCGAGCTCTTCGGTCTGATGGGTCTGTCGGCATATGTGCCAGCCAAGCCAGTGGAGATTATCGATGGCAATTCAAAAGTAAATCGTGTGAAAATCAAATAGAATACAATAGAAAAGCGTAAAGCCATACTCAACTCACTCCTATTTTTTCCTCTTCTTCCTCACTTCATTGCGAAACAAAACGAAAATCCACACACAACAATTACACAACATGTTAATTATTTTGTTCATTATTTATCAATATGCATCATATTTCTACAAAAAAACACCCTTTACATATCCACACACACACACAAATTCATGTAAACAAATAGGTCTTCAATATCATAACTGCGCCACCAAACACTCATGCGGATGAATCCAACAAGCAGCCCTCGACCAAGGATCAGTTGTCGCAGGTGAAGAAAGGCAGAAGACTGAGGTCGACAATGTCGCCATCGCCGAGATAAAGTTGCTCATGTTGCCGCGTTTAACATCTGGAGTTATCAATTAGCCGATCGTTCATCTGTTCTACTTACTTTTGTATTATAAATTTCAAACGATTTTTTGTTGTATACGCGATCGTCTTTAGCCCTAATTTATTAGTTCTAGGTTTGGTGTAAATTGTTACGAAAGTACACTTAGAGTTAAATCTCATGAAAATATTTGTAAGTGTAATCTGCGCGTGGAAATAGTTTTAAGATTTATTTAATTGTAATTCCATGGATCATATACTATATACACCATATATGTATATAATGTATGTATACATATTATATATACTTTATGAATCGACCAAAAGACGCAAGAAATAACATCGAGAAGATCCTTCTGCAGCAACGCAAACACATAAACTCTTCGGAACTCTACACGCGGTCCTAGCGGATTTGAACTTTAAAACTAGCTTTAAAAAACATATAATATAACGTACATGTCTATTATATATAGAAATGTATTACTTAGAAAAATAATACCTAGCAGCTAATGTATAAAGAAATTTAAATAAATATGTAATTATGATAACTTTTTATTTTATTAGAAAATTTGTACTTTTCTCCCAACCCATAAGCAGTACAGCCAGGTAAAAGCATTTCTAGCAGGCTCCAGCCGTGCACAGCAGGCAGCGGCGGATTGGCTTTTAGTGAGCAACTCGACAACCGCCGGCAGATATTTGTCGTTTTTATAGTTTGTAGCCAGAGGCTTTTGCGTTTGCAACAATCCCGGATTAAACACCTCAACCTCACTTTAAAAAGATGCTAAGCAAAATTAAGTTTCTTGGAAATTTGAGGGATGCTGTTGAAGTGCCACTACAACCACTGAAAAATAAGGCGTTGAATCGGTGAGTTTTAGATCAACCAATATTAAATATTCAATTTGTTTATTAATAAAACATTTCTACTTTGCAGTTAGCAGTATAAGTGCCTCGTCAAAGATGCCGACTCCAAGCATGGCAGCAACTTAGACATGCATCGCTACGCCTGCTATGTGTGCCGCAAGTCCCAGAAGGTCTTTTATGACACTGAGGTGCGTTGTGATGTCGAAGGTGGCGAGAAATTTGAATCACAAAAGTATCTCAAGCATGAAACCAATCTTAAGGGATTGCGCTATTGTAGCTCGATGAGCGGTATTTCAACAGCACACGCTTATCCAACAGCTGCAACGATGATTGCCAAAATCTCACGAAAAATAAGCCAACAAAATGCCGGACAAAACGCTAAAAAGCAAGTATCCATTGCACTTTATACTACATCCAGCGAAAGCAAATCCAAAATTAAATTGTTTATTAAAAATATAAAAGTTAGTTTTAAATTGATATTTAAATACATTTACTTGCATATTCAAACACGCAAAATGTAGAAAGAATGCAACACTAATTAGCACTAAGTTA